AATTAAACCTAGAATCTCCCAGTTTGGCAATGGAGAGAGAATCTTCATAAGGAAAAAGATGTAGGCATCAGAGTTCCAACTACACTGGGAAAGTCATCTTACCCAAAGGAGAACTCTGGCTCATTAGGGCTGTTGCCAAAACAGAAGCCTCAGGAGGGATGCTGTTTCCCTGTTAACACTGTGGTTTGATGTGTACTACGTAAGACTAAGCCTACTTTTAATTCCCCATAGTACAGCTCAGACAAGGTTTCAAGATTTGAAACAAATGCAATGTGAGAGGACAAAATGAATGAGAATTGGTGCTTATGAGGCAGGTAGGGGCCATAACACGGAGGGCCTTGTGTGCCGTGTCAATTTCACTTTTTATGTAGAAAGCTACTCAAGAGATGTAAGCATCTCATGTCTTTAGGTATGTTTCTCAGAAAGATCACTCAGGTGGCAGTGGCAGGAACCAAAAATGACTGCCATTTTTCTCCACTGGGCAATCACCTGGATAATAATGCTATTCATTTAGGTAGGAAATAAAGACGGACAGGTGGGAGATGCGAGTAGGGAGAGGCTCATTGAGCAAACTGGATACACAGGCTCCAGAGCAAGAGTTAGTTCAGATATTTTGTAGTCATTTAGTATACAAATGCTTGCTGAAGCACCACAGAGTAGATGTGATTCCTTAGGGAGAATGTATAGAATAAAAAGAAAAGGGTCTTCTGAAGAACACCAACATGTAAGGGATGAATACAAGGAAAAGGAATCACAGACACCTAGAAGGTAGAAAGGAAATCCAGCAGAGTAGTACCTTAGGGGTCAAGGAAAAAACAGGAGTGGTGATTAACAATCTAGGGTTTGGAGTTCAGATGTATTTGGGTCTGAATCCCAGTACCACTATTTATTAGGTATGTAGCCATATCTATAAAATAGAGGAGTAACAGTAGCATCCACCTAATAGAGCTGATGTGCAGATAAGCATGTAGCAGTTAGCAAGGAATATTACTTAACATGGAATAGAGGCTTAAGCAAAAGGAATTAATCTTTCATTGTGGAATTTTAGAGATCATTCTTTTTAGAGAGGAAAATATTTTGTGAAGCAGGGATTTTCCAGGGTTCCTAAAATCATTAAGTTCAACAAAAATCACTGCTTTTAGGGAAAGTTATTTTCAAAGCACTTAATGAATTATTGTTACCACATTTCTTTTCACGCACATGACTCAATACCACATAATAGGGATTTATCTTTGTTAGAGGTGGAAATCTAGATGGGAAGGATTTTCAAAGCATTTAAAAATAGCTTTCAGCAGTATTAAAATCTTCTGGTATCATATTTAACTCTGTCCTGGCCTGAAAAAAAGCAGTGATCCTGAAGGACAGCAACTGGGACTCACTGTATTTTTCAGTGACTATCATTTAAAATTGTCTTAGAAATGCCAATACATGCTACTAAATTATTCTGATAGGAAATATTTAAAATGAACTATTCAAAAAGTAAACAACAAATGCTTAGTATTGAAACTAATAAAGATAACACTGGCAATAAAATTTAAGAAAGCAAAGGCAATCAAAGAAAATAGTGAAACTATCTGGTTCTATAATAAATGAATGTAACTAAGCAATTCATATTTATTTGTTCTGAGTTTTAAACATATTGTTCCTTATGACATCCTTATTATCCACAATAAAGTTTAATGCTCATTAAAATGACACTTGTTCCTCACATCTTCCCTCAATCATTTTTCCTTGTCTTCTTGCTATAGAAACCTTTAGCCACAGTAATATTAAAGAAAGAGGTAACCAAACTTTCTGATAAATGAAACTAATAGATCCAGTTAACAACTGTGCACGAAGAGACTAAATGAGTATCACAAGAAGAAACATTTGGGTGACTTTCCTTTTAACTGCAGACTGTATAGATAGTTACCTCAATGCAAACAATTTTAGCTTCTTGCTTCTGCTCTTTATTTGTATATTGTACACATGCTCAGAGTTACAACCTAAAACTGTAGATATTTCAGTGTATTTCACTAGAAGATATTTACAAGGAATACAAGAGAAGGCACTTGAATTGAAGATCAATTCAGTATACTATTAATGTTGCTACTTGCCTCCAGAAATGAAGAATACCATCTGATAACTCTAGTGTCTGTTCAAATTTGCTTTTACTTAGCTAGACATGACTATTATAAGAATATAACCATGAAGTAAGAAGTATAGCAGCTTTGTAAAGAATGAAGCCAATTAAATTGTATGGTTATATCGTATGTCTCCCAATCTCATTTAAGATAGTCTTTGTAAATAGTCAATGCTCATGAATCATATTGATCTGAGTCCATTTACTAGATGAATATTTAATGGAACACTTACCAAATACATTGATAATGACCTCAGTACACAGAAACACATATACTGAGCTACTTCAGGGCACTGGTCTAGAGGATCTCTAAGGCATCTTTGGGCCTATGATCCTCAAAATGTGGTCTGTGAACCCCTGGTGATCCCCAAATTCATGAGGTCAAACTATTTTAGAAACAGTACTAATATATTTGCGTTTTTCATTGTATTGACAATAACTGATAGTACAAAGGCATTGGTGAGTAAAACTGCTAGTGTCTTAGGATGAATCAAGGTAGTGGCACCAAACTACTAGTAAGTCATTGTGACTTTTACCACCAATTTCACTTAAGAATATTTTTGATAAAGCAAGAAATGATTACGATCATTTGTACAACCATTACAGTACAAAGAAAAGCACTAGTGGTATTGTTTGATTTGCCAGCTAAACCAGCTGATTTTTTTTTTTT